TGCCTTTCAGAAAAAAGCAGAACGAGCCTTTGAGGAGCAGTGTTGAAAGCCAAGGAAACTAGCTGAGAACACGACGATCGAGGCGCACGATTGGTCTCGGCCACTACGATTTTGTGCAAACTGAATTGAACTGAACTGACCTGACCTGAACTTGTTTTGCTGCACCACTTCGAGCATCCTTCAAGGTATTTTTTGTTGGCGCGATGTCTCGTTCGTCTCTGCTCGTGTTTTTTGTGGTGTCTGTTTTTGTGAGCGAGGCATTCAGTGAAGAATGGGATAGTTGCTACAATGCGTGTGAAAGGCATTATCAAGTGAGTGAGCTTTTATCTTTGGCTTGAATATAATATTTTCTTCGCGCAACAAATGTTAGCATTGATGAATGTTGTGTCTGACTTGTAATGGGTTATGGGGAAATGTCGCTGACTATGGGTAGCATCTGTGAGGTTCAGGATTTTTTTTAGTTTTGACTTTAGCTTTTTATATTTTATTGTCAATATCAACAGTTATGTATTATTGTAAATTTTAAGTTAACTTAAACTATGGTTATCATATACTGAAAGCTATTCTTTATCGGTGCATCGTGTTATCAAGATGAGTGCCGTTATCAATGAGGGATTTTTCGCTGGTATCATGGCGGGTCATTGCATCAATTTCTGCGTTCTGTAACTTTATTCTAATTTCAGGATGACCTCCAAGCTCCATGTAAAGCTGGTTGTCGGAAGGCTGCAGAACTGCGTCAAGTTTCCAGTGGTGCAGAGCAGCCCCAAAGTTGTGCAGCGATGTGCGCCCGTAACTATTCTGAGATCACACAGGCGGGTGCCTGTGAATTCGGTTGTGACGCCCCCTCGGACAATATCAAAACCCTGTTGAGGTAATGCATCTTACTGTATCCGCCAACAACTTATTTAGTAATCTACTGAGCTTTTCCAGATTCGGTAATGCTGATAAAACCTCTGGTAAGTCTATCTTTCATGGAATCTACTATTTACTGAATTTGATTTTCATCGCACGTTCTGATGTAATGGTTAATGAAAAGTGCAAGCATTTTTATCACGGAAACCATCAGCAGCAACATCATTATTGTACCATGAGATATACAGAAATGAAGTTGATTGCTCGCTGTCAAGCTCTCAGTGCGCTATGGAAGGATACTGTTAGGCAATGGAAACGCGATTTAAGCCTCGAGAATAAGGAGCTTTATCAGATCCTAATGTGAGATATTATTTAAAGCCCCGCCTACCACTCGTGGACGAGGCTTTAATCAGAGTAAGGCCTGGAAATANGCTTTGTGGTAGTGGTAGCGCAGTGGTTTAGTCTTTCGCCATTCCTGTTCAATTTCGTCGTAGACGAAATACTGGAGAGCGCGCTAAAAGGACTCCAGAACGTAGGTATTGAATAGACAGCTGGAGAAAAGCTGTGTGATTTAGTGTACGCTGATGACATGGTCTGTCTGTTCGAATGTATGGAGGACGCGCAAAGCGCACTTGATGATGATAATGAGTGGTTTAGTCGCTGTCACCGACGTGCTTTTAACCCCTGTGGNGAGCTCTGCCACCGCCACCCGACTTCGGTGGTAGGCAGCTATGCTGTAATCCGGCTCAATACCACGCCTAACCCACCGGGGCCTTACGTGGTTCACCACTCCAAGTCCTGGGGCATAGGTTGCCGGTTTCCACTACTGAACAGCAGGTCCTCGTGACTGAGGTTCGCCCCTTCTGCTCTGTAAAAAAATACAAACGGGTGTTATTCCTCCCCCCAAAACGTGTTATTTAATAGCTTCTAAGTACTGTTTAACTAACCACTTGTGACCTAACAAATATCAAAGTGCTCGGTATAAAAAAAGAATGTTTGTTCTTATTCTCATTAGTTTGTTTTCCACGGCATTCTGTTTGTAAAATATGCACTCTCCTATTGTTGTGGTATATTGTGGTGTATTGTTGTGGCACCAGAGGTTTCCCCAAGCACGTGATATACCGGTTGGATTCCGATCAACGCTTGTGAATGCATATCTAGTAGGCATTGAAAGAATCAATATGACCAGGGTTACCCACCATAACTGTCCCCCCATCATACTGTTTTGTGTCCCAACCCCTTCGTTCTGTTACTCTTTCATACTAATAATTTCTGCATGAGGATGTGTCGGTCTCACTGATATCCCTAGCTATGACTGCACGGCGTTCAGTCGCAGTTCCGATGCACATTGAAAACCAGTTCTTTTTTATTATACAAGGTGAATTGCAGTAAACGGGGAAGTCCCCATCGGCAAATAGCATACTGTAAAGGGGAGAGTAGGGGAACATTCAAGTAAGATCCACTTTATTAATTCTGCGTTTAAAGAGTGTAAGA